ACTTCGCATACTTTAATTGATCACATTTACACAAATGCAACTGATCGTTGTTCACGATCTTATATTATATTACATGACATATCATATCACTTTAAACTTTCACTTCGCATACTTTAATTGATCACATTTACACAAATGCAACTGATCGTTGTTCACGATCTTATATTATATTACATGACATATCATATCACTTTAAACTTTCACTTCGCATACTTTAATTGATCACATTTACACAAATGCAACTGATCGTTGTTCACGATCTTATATTATATTACATGACATATCATATCACTTTAAACTTTCACTTCGCATACTTTAATTGATCACATTTACGCAAATGCAACTGATCGTTGTTCACGATCTTATATTATATTACATGACATATCATATCACTTTAAACTTTCACTTCGCATACTTTAATTGATCACATTTACACAAATGCAACTGATCGTTGTTCACGATCTTATATTATATTACATGACATATCATATCACTTTAAACTTTCACTTCGCATACTTTAATTGATCACATTTACACAAATGCAACTGATCGTTGTTCACGATCTTATATTATATTACATGACATATCGTATCACTTTAAACTTTCACTTCGCATACTTCAATTGATCACATTTACACAAATGCAACTGATCGTTGTTCACGATCTTATATTATATTACATGACATATCATATCACTTTAAACTTCCACTTCGCATACTGTAATTGATCACATTTACACAAATGCAACTGATCGTTGTTCACGATCTTATAATATATTACATGACATATCATATCACTTTAAACTTTCACTTCGCATACTTTAATTGATCACATTTACACAAATGCAACTGATCGTTGTTCACGATCTTATATTATATTACATGACATATCATATCACTTTAAACTTTCACTTCGCATACTTTAATTGATCACATTTACACAAATGCAACTGATCGTTGTTCACGATCTTATAATATATTACATGACATATCATATCACTTTAAACTTTCACTTCGCATACTTTAATTGATCACATTTACACAAATGCAACTGATCGTTGTTCACGATCTTATAATATATTACATGACATATCATATCACTTTAAACTTTCACTTCGCATACTTTAATTGATCACATTTACACAAATGCAACTGATCGTTGTTCACGATCTTATAATATATTACATGACATATCATATCACTTTATACTTTCACTTCGCATACTTTAATTGATCACATTTACACAAATGCAACTGATCGTTGTTCACGATCTTATATTATATTACATGACATATCATATCACTTTAAACTTCCACTTCGCATACTTTAATTGATCACATTTACACAAATGCAACTGATCGTTGTTCATTTTCTCATATTAAATTATATGACATATCAGATCACTTTCCTGTTATGTAATCTAGATTCTAGTGCACCTAAATGCAAATTCAAAACTCGCATGAGACGCAAAATGTCCACTTTCAACACTGAAATATTTAGATACGATGCCTAATTAAAATATATTCAATGCATTTGTATTGACACAACAGTAAACTGAAAACTTCAATGAAGTATTTGGTATTTTTCTATCTACCATAAAGGACCTAATTGATACCCATGCTCCTATGGTCTCATGATCGCGTAAGAAAACTAAACTGCTATCAAAGCCTTGGACTACAGAGGGTCTTCATAAATCCATCAACATGGTTCTCCAAGTCAACGTGCATTCTACAAAAAATATCATACCACTTTAGTTAACTTCTTAAAAATAGGAAAAATGGGAATTTTAATCACCAGAAGGCCAACAAAAATATTTAAGTTATCAAACTTACAAACGAGAATATCTGTCGGAGACCGAAGACTTATCGATCGAACTGCGGTTTCGATTTATGAATCTATGGTGACACCGCGTGTCTCATCACTAATTAATTAATAACTCGCTAATTATACGACATAATTCATCCAAAATCAATAGGCTTCCGAGATATGATGAATGCACATGCAAAATTTGGAGTAGATTCAACCTCGCCTTCAGCTAACAAACAGACATACAGATAGACAAATACCTATCAACATACTTACCGATCTTAAGATCAATAAGTAATAGTGACTTTTTCATTTAGGTAAGAAATACTTTGTCAAGCTTGATGATTAAAAAAATGGGGGTCGTGCGTTTCTCATTTTGAAGTTCAATTCGATATAATACAAGAGTGCAATGCCCAAATATTTGGTCGCGAAAGTCAAAACGAAGTAGTACGGGTATCTGATCTTTCACAGTACCGGTGGTACGGAACACTGAAGTAAAAATATATATCTGTGGCACGGAAAGGCGTCTGACCTTCGACTGACATTAGATTAGACAGTAACAAACGCGAATGTGGAACCACTAGGTGCGCAATTTTGGAGCATCATAATATCCAAACGATATGTATGCCCATTTCATGTCCAACAGTAACATTCCATTGTTCAATGTCGTATGTATACTGATATATTGATCAGTGATAATAAACAAATATAATATCACCAATTAATGAGTATTTGAGAATTCGGATCGACTAGAAAAATTGATTTGGTTTCTAAATCACGTGGTACTCCGGAATACCGGTAAGTCTGTATAAAAAGGGAAAAATGAATTAGGTGATTAAGATTAAAGACATGTTTTGCATGTTTCACGTCTAGTAATAGTATTAACTCCAAATTTTTCATTTATTTTCGGAATTATATTTTTCGAATACCTAAGCCTCGGTCCCATTCTCAATACTGCATTATTTTTGTTATCTATCAGGTGAACGACAATTGGAATTTTGCCAGAATCAATCTGTCTCGTAACAGAATAGTGATGTCTATCTAATTTTTGATAAAAAAAACTCTTGCAACCACCAGCACTGTCATACTCTTGAACAACGAAAAACTCTTGGAGTTCACCAACTGTGGTTTCGTAAGATGAGAACGAACAGGCATCCATAATCGCTTGCAGTCCCAGTTTATACTTTAGAATAAGATTATTAAAATAGCACATATACAAATCATTGTGACGCACCAAAAATTAATATTTTTTATTATAAATTTGTTTGTATATTTTGAAGCGTAAAAACTTATTTTATCATTTGTACGGGCTCTGTTAAAGACTAAGAAGGCACAGGAGTACAATTTAGTGCAGATAATGAATGTATTTGAATATGAATAGAGATGGATAATAATTTCTGACTATTTCTTGTGTATGAAGTATATCACGATACATGGTCAAACCCCTGAAACCAACAACTAACATTTTGTCAGCCTATATCAGTTTGTACATTTCATTTTAATAATCTAGTCATCCATAAATTCCGATGTTACCAACAGTTAATCGCTAAGATTGTTTACGTACGTACATTTAGTTTACTTTATTCCTTGTTCATGTCTGTTCTGCCTGAGAGATTAAAAGGCTATAAATTCATCTAAGTATTTGGTCATGAAGCAACTTATTATCCCAACAATGAGGGAGCTATATGGCCGGCCGTTTATGGCGGATATTTTGGATCATTTCCATCAATTTTTCGGCTTTGTATTATACTCCTCGCATTTGACACCCTACAATTTACGATATTGCTAGTGTGTAAATAAATATATGATTTGGATTAGTACAAAACTCAGTATACTATTTAGAATGGTCAAAAAGCTATGTAGATACCAATACGTGATGTTCTTTTATTGCCACGACTTGTTGATACTCAAGAATTCCTTTGAAGTTCATCAATATATTCCACGACGTTACATAGACTGACAACTGAATTTTGTAAATGACGAGACTGGACAAATGGTTTCTTAAAATTCTTACGATTTTGAAGGGAAAATTAGAATGCCTAATAATTTACACTATGGCTCGTATTGTTACCAATTTTATAATTGTGGAAACACGATCTTCTATACTAACACCCTTCCAAGTCTTGTCAATATCAGCTTAGGCCTACTTCAAACCCCGAGGCATATAATCAAGCGCTTTATCAGGTAATATTTGATTGCTGAAATAAACTACCGTATACACAAAACAAACATAAAATTAATAAACAATAGATACAGTATTTAAATAGCATCACGATTGTATCAGATTTGGGATATTTATACATTATGGTCTGTTACGTGTACTTCATGTATTATGTGCGTGAATTTGTTCAGGAAAACATAACGTATTGCACGCTAAAGTTGGAAATTGGACGCATGCGATGATGTCCAGGTGCGCACGAATTAAACGCCACAACAGTAAAAATATTTTTCGTTCGAATGACTGGTTATATTTTCGAATATCAGTCAACACTTTAGGTGCTACGTTCTGTAAAATGAAGTATTGTAACTAGACTAGTGAATCAGCATAAAACTTTTTGAATATTTGGATTATTTTGGTTTAATATGGGTGTCGAGTTTATATAGTTTCGATACAACACTTTTCCAGATCAAATTCATTTTTGAGACGCTTAGTCTGACCAAAGTGAGACTTCCTAAAATAAACACTTCATGCAACTATGTCAACAGAGTAGAATTATATTTATCTGAAGAAATACAGAAATATATTTGTGTCGGACCTCCAGAAGTATGCGCACCAAGATGGCGCACAACCTGAACATAGTCAGGTTGTGCGACATCTTGGTGCGCATATTTTTGAAGCACCTTTGTGTCAGTGTTAAGCAATATTATACAGTACTTGTCTCCATTCTTTCTACATCATCTTCGCATTATACGTCTACGGATTCACCATCACAAAAGCATGAAAGCATAGATAAACCGCATTAACGGTAGAAAATTCAGAATCAGTTATAGACATCGTTATATGACATCGTTAAATATTAGATAGGTATTTCATACTTGAATTCATTATGATGAACAGATAGTAGAATGATTTGCAGAGTATAATCACCAAAATCCAATATTTCGTTTCTTTATTTATGATACTGAAAAGTATTTAAAAAACGTGAAAAATTGTTTTGTTTTAGTTGTCCCGCTTTAATTTAATATCTATTAAATTTGGCCTATACCAGAAAATGCTCAAGTCAACACTAGTCGCTCTGCTATTGACTCTACTAGCGCGGAAGTCGTACGACCCGATGATAACGAACGATGTATCGGAAGAATACGATTTTATTGTTGGTGAGTGATCATTGATTTTATCTGAAGCCCAATAAGCGTTTGTTCAGGTACGAAAGTAATATATATATATTAGGACTTGAGAATTAGTATTATTATCATTACACACTGAATCAGGTATTAGTATATACGATTTCTGTGATACTGCGTCGAACAATTCTGTTGAAAACCAGACGTGATGCTTTCCTCAAAACTCACTCCCAGCCAAATTTCCTTCTCTTTTTTTTGTAGTTGGGGCAGGTGCATCTGGAGCTGTGGTTGCGAGAGGACTCTCAGACAAAACTGGGATGACGTAAGAATTGTATTATGATTGAAAATTGGAAGAAACTTTAATTGGTTTTATTATTGCGGAGTAAATATTTCGAGAAACAAACATCACTTACCAATTTTTACCCAACTAATTACATATTTTCAATAGGCGTTTGCTTCCAGCATTTTTTTTTGGATATTTTCTAACAATATATAAATATAGATATAATAAAACGAGTAAGAGGAAAACGGTATGTTCTGCATATTCGCAAAATTTTGACTCATTCATAAATTTCGCTACATTTGAAAATTTCTTCAAATATATGGGAGTTTAATTAACTATTATTCTTAACTATCCATGACATTTTATTTCATTTTATGTTTAACTTGCTCTACCGTAGAACCTAATATGAATACCAAGCAAAACGGAATCTATGAGCAATATTCTAGATTACTTTTCGTTTAACAACGGTCTTTATTGTGTTCAGGGTGTTGCTATTGGAAGCGGGTGAATCAGATTATAACAATCCTTTAGTTCCTAGTGCGATCAAATATGGCGAGTTGCAACAATCTCCTTATAATTGGAACTACGACGTAGCAAAACAAAAATATTCGTTGCTTGAAATAGGAAAGGTAATCAAGATAGATACATTTTGTTTTTAACCCTCCAATCATAAAAAGGTTCTGTGTAAGCTTCCATTGCTGGGTAATTCCGAAATATATGATGTGCGCAACACCTGCCGGCACACTGAAAGTTCGTATGCGACAAAATGACGCAAAAAAAACAACTACCACATTTGAATGCTTCTTTCTATGTGGGGTTTTGAAAACTTCGCGCCAAAATGGGACTCCGTAGGTTTTTGAACGTACAGAAATATGTATATTTCCAGTTTGTCATTAAAAGCGCTTATAACTAAAATTTTTAAATGTATGCCTTCTGTTAGAATGCAAAATATCCTGGAGGAAAAATTCTTGGTGGATCAACAGCAATAAACGGAATGAATTATGTGAGAGGAAGTCCACATGATTATGATTCTTGGGAAGATCATGGAGCAAAAGGATGGAGTTGGAAAGATGTCGAACCATTTTTCAGAAAAAATGAAAACGCTGTCGATGATAAAATATCAGAAAAAGCAGGAAGAGGAGGTTTACTAAATATCAGTATTTCATACGAAAATCCCTTTACTGCAAAATTGAAGACGGCGGCAAAAGAAATCGGTAAGGACGTATAAGAATGAAACAGACAGTTGAGCAGCTGTATCCAACTAAGATTTTACCTTTAAATCATATGTATATAATTAGTTAGTTTGATGATGAAAATTTACGGGAGTGTATTTACCTTATTCTTTATATGAAGGTATAAGGGAAGTTGACTATTTTGATGAAATTGAAGGAATATCGCGATTTGTTTGTACCAGATACAAGGGATTAAGACAATCGTCTTCAGAGGCGTTCTTGCGATCGGGATATAAAGAACGGTAAAACGTGTTGATCTTTGATCTTATAAAAAATATACATCTGACCATAGAGTTTAAGTTGCGTTCAAAAACACTACGTATCCAACATTTAATTTCACTCGACCAGTTTATTTTATCCAATGCAATTCGAAATTCCGTTTGAATTTTTAGAAATCAACTTTATTGTAAGATCGTAGTAAGCTCTCACAATTTCCCTGATAACCCGGACGCATTTATGGTACAAACCTTCATTTTTTAGGTATCTAATCATTTTAGTTCTTAATTATTGAAAGAGAATACTGATTTTGCATTCAAAGTAAAAAAAATTAAATGCAAGTTGTTTTGGACTAAAAACTTCAATCTCATGTTTCTTTCGCAAATTAGTGGACACAGTATCATATCAGAATATATTTTATAGACAAAAAAGTTTGCACATCGTAACAAATGCACTTGTAAGCAAGATTCACTTTGTTACTGGAACAAGCGGTAAACAAAAAGCTACAGGCGTAAGTTTCATTAAAGATGGGAAAATAAGCAACGTTAAAGCCAGAAAGGAAATCATTTTATCAGCTGGTGCACTGAGAACTCCACAAATATTGATGTTGTCGGGGATCGGTCTGAAAAATCATCTTGAAGAGATGGAGGTAGACTTTTACTTTCATAACGTTTGCGAGAAAAGAATTAAAATGTAATATAGTTATTTAATATCTAATTTTCAATATCCATTAAAGATTGTTCAAAAAAGTAGGCGGAAAACTTTTATATATATATACACGGAACAAATGCTTAGTCTTGCAGTATAAAGAAAGATAGAAGTGACTCATTGCTCAGATGGGAGATGGAAACAAAAAAATTGGTTCTTCCGAGACAGCTTGTGCCAATCACAAGCAAAAAATTGTCTTTATTGAATTATTCATTCCAAACTTTATGGCGTTGTTTTCAAGAATAGTGATAGGATGAAAGTTTTCAACTTTTGAAATATAGCTGATCATCTTTCATTATAGATATCTTCGTTATGGAAATGCATTTTTTTCGCAAATAACAGCTATTACTAGAGTTTGGTAAAAAAAATATCATAAACCACGGCACAACTTCTCAATGTCAAACTGCAGTGTTTTTGCCTTCCAGATAGAAGTTGTGAGGGATTTGCCAGGCGTGGGAGCAAATTTTCAGGATCATTTCGGGCACTTCGTCCATCACGCCATAGAAGACAGTCAGTTTGCATCACATACGGTAAGCTGAAGTAGTATTTCGCAGATATTGTGGATATGAAAACGACAGTCGGAATATTTATGCGATAGTGGATGAATGTCGCATTCCGCAAATTAAATTGAGACTAATGTTTAGACACCGGAATCTATCACGGAATACATCATTAACGGTACCGGACACAACTCAGCGGCCTTGGGTGGCAGTGTCGTTCTTCATCATAGGACTAAGTATTTTGGAACTAATGTTTCACTTAGCAACAAGTAAGTGAATATATATTTTACAAAGCAACTTGAACTATGTATGTATTAAAAAGTTGCAACCATTTCGATATATTTTGCGTGAAATTTTTCAAACTAGTTGGACCATAAATAATTTTCTAATAAAAGCAGTCAGAATCATTTCATTCGAGATACAAATTATTAAAACCATGCGATTTTTGTTAATTTTTTTTTGGACAAATTTGTCAAAATCAAACAAATAAATCCTTGTGATACGTAAAATAAATACAATTTCTCTTTTTCTTTTCAGAAAACGGCCATTCCCTAGTATTCAAGCACTTTTCACCTCAGCAAATATACCTGTCGTTTTCGAGCCGACGAAAAACGTAAGAAATTCATTAATAATATATGAGAGTTTTCTTGATTTCAAATTTTCACCTCTAATGACTCGAACTGATTTTTTTAGTCATATAAAATATCAACTTGCTTTTAATTTTATGATTCATGATTGGTCATCATGTAAGCCCTACTGTGTTTCATTCAAGAAAACGAGAGATATTGATAACATCTGAAAGAGCTAGACTACGACAATTTTATAAAGCAAAATATATAGAATTTTATCAGGATTGTGCTGCAAACATAAAGAAATTAAGGAATCTGGCATTTCAGGAAAATATAATATCCTCCAAAAACATATTTTAACGCCGGATGTGTGTGTGCTTCCACGAAGTATATAGTCTCACGGTTTAACTATATAATATGTTAATATTTCAACTGGTTTTATATTTAGCATACGTTTCATACCTTATTACTACTAGCAGTTTTGCATCCCAAATCAAAAGGTGAAATTCGGTTAAAGTCGACGAATCCGACTGACCAACCTATCATTGATCCAAATTATCTGTCGGAAGAAGATGATATAAAGATGTACATTGAAGGTAAAATTGTTTTGTGAAAACTAAATGTTATTATTGATCTATCTTAAAACAGGAGAGCTACGCTCAAATATATGAATACGTAGCGACACCTAGTGGCGAATTCGGATGACGTCATAGCACTAAAAAACGAATCTCATGTAGCACACAGATATATTTGAAATAAATAGAAGCAATAGCTTTTTAGGGAAAAATTCCATCCTCAACAACTGAAAATTTCAAAGCAAATGGTCCAGTAATCAATGAGAAAAGCGTTTTTTTCATAATAAATAACGATTGTTATGTCCACTTACGAGTCCAATAATGAGACTATTCTACAAATATGATATTTATACTGTTTGTATACTGTCCAGTAGATGGCAGTGGCGTGAAATACTGTTCCCCAACTTGCTGTGTCGGTCTAATTAAGTTTGATCACTCCAAATGTATTATTAAACGCTATTTTGACAAATGGCACAAATACCCGCGTAACTATATTTTATTTTCTTGATACAAAAAACATAATTCACATTTGGATTATTGGACAAGCTTGGTCCATCGTGATCAGATCTCACAAGGAGAAAAATACCGACAAGACAAAGAAAACGATTCTCAAATATAAGGGCACGAAAGCCAAAGAGAAGCAGCAGTCTACCTTACTCTATACAGTACTTTACCTATGTTCAGTATGGTACAGTTTTAATCTAAAATCAAATCAAAAGTCTGGCAACAACAATTTTGCAAAGAAATTTTTCCGGCAAGTCGAAATCGCGCCAAGCAAGAAAGAAATAATTGACATATCGTGCATACGCGCACATAAACGCATAAAATCTTGCCTTTCTGGTGTTTCAACGTAGTTTTTATAAACTCCTTTTTAAGGATTTAGAAAGCTTGAAGAATTTGAAATGACAAAAGCTATGAAAGAAATTGGATTTAGGCTGGTAACACCTCAAGTATGCAATGGATCGCTCTACACTAACCCTCCCAGGTAATATCTGCCTCCTTTTGTTGAAAAATTTTCAGGGTTTCGTGAAGTATTCATTCACTTACGTCTATCCACATGCAACAGCAAGTAAAGCATATCAAAGTTTATTGAAGGTGATTTATTAAAAAGCAAAAACCGTCTGAGTTTTGCAGTGGATGGATGATATAAACTTCAGCGTGACAGTAAACTGCAAGTCAATATTGAATCCAAGTTCATTATGCTTTCTTTATAAAAAAAAAAAAACTGACTGAATATATAAACTGAATTTAACAATTAGATATTCATGTGCCAGATTTCAAGCAATTACTAAATCTACTGACACTAAACCACTACCCTAACAAAAATTTTATTTTCAAGGCCCGACGAATTTTATCGATGTTACGTTAAAAGTTTTGGGTATGCAGCACATGCATGTTGTACTGCTAAAATAGGACAAGAAGATGATGAAATGGCAGTTGTTGACGAAAGACTTAGGTAGGTCAATCATTTCTTTTCGATATATATTGGTTATTTACAATCAAACTATGGCAAAGTTATCATAACTGAACTTGTATATGTTTCTATACAATTTTATGTCGATCCAATAAACACAGAGTCCTTATTTACTACAGGGGTTAGTATTTTTGTTGGAGCGGTCCGCATTATTTACCTCTTTTTTTTGTTGTGAAGGGTCCGGCATGTTGAGGGCCTAAGAGTCGCCGATGCATCAGTCATGCCCCATGTGACGTCATCTAATACACAAGCTCCTTGTTACATGATTGGACGGAAGGCGTCAAAAATGATGAAACAAGATTGGAACATGAATGAATGAAATGCATTTTTTCATGGATGAAAATGATAAATAAAGAATATGATATATAATGCAGTTGGTTCTGTTGTTACAAAACGCACGAAATTAGAATAGTTGTAAAAAGCGGTTTAAAAGGAGTGAAAGCAAAATAGATAGGTTGAATAATTTTTTTTAATTTCAATCAGATCGGCAGTATAATATATTATATCTTATTCTATGAACTTTGATGAAGCATAAATCAGCAAATTTTGTTGTATTCAGTAACCAACGGAAGGTTTGGGTTGCAAAATTTTAGGAATCCCTTACCGAGTCGCGACCAAAGAGTAATATTCGACCCTTTGTTTAAAACCTATTTCAGACGCCCAATCGAGCCTAATTTTGAATACCCATTTTTATTAATGTCATACGACCCCCAAAATTTACCCAATATACAATAATTATATACCATTGGAAAGGTATTTTAGAGTACTATACGCTAGATGTCACTGGAGGACCGTAAACTAAAACACCTCTTTCAAGAGGTCTCTCGTAACGTTAAAAAATAACAAAAATATTTACACTCTCTCATTCTATCAGCTGTTGGACATCTATAGCTATTGTAAAGCTGAAATGTGACTATACAGTTGACTGCACATTGAATTTCTCTTTCATATGATACTAAACGCTTTTCCATAGCGCGCGTTGTTCAAGCGTTTTGTAAATTTTCCGTTTGAGAAGTCACCACATCGAATCAGGCCAGGCTAAGCTTGATAGATCGATCGGTTGTTTGTTTGTGCTTTATCGCGTTGAAAGCTTTTGTGAGTCCTAATAAAACATTTATTATGAATCATAAAAGCTTATAATCGTCAGACAAGGAGAATTTGCGAGATAAAACGCCTAACTTTTTTTCGGTGAGGCAGCTGCGATCAAACGACTCGATATTTTTATAACTTCCTGGCGTTGTGAGATGTCCACTCTCCTATGTTATGTAGCATATACAATGACCTTCAAAATAAGACCTTATCATACTAACTTTTGTTATTGGTTAGCGCGCAACGCCAAGGTTTATGGAATCATTTTCTTGTTGTGCGACGTTTTTATATCGCAGCGGGAAGTACACGCGTGATATGTAAGCGAAATTTTATCACTTCTAAATGTCATATAAGGTTCATTCTCATATCGTTGTGTGGGGAATAAGATTTCCTTTCAAGCAAGACCATAACAAACATTCCAGACCTCATGATATACACACAGCATTGCAAAACGTCTGAAACGTCGCGCATGCGTCAGACCGGGAGGATTAGGTTTGGTTAACAAAACGTATAGCCTATTATCAAAGTCTGTTTCATAAGACAATTTCATCGAATCATCGCTTTTTCACACTAACTAGGTTTGGAACCATGATGCCTTTTTTGGTTTCTCGTAATTCTTTCTCTCTTGAGTCCAATGCGATTGTCTTGTATTGAGCTGTGTTTCACTGTGGTTTTTCTTTTACGATATAAAAGTTTGTGACATTTCAGTCTAGTGGTTATCTAGAAGTACCCATGACATCACAACAAGTCAGAAAAAGATCAGAAGTTGGCCATAGAGTAATGAAACAACAAATTTCTAATAAGAGAAACTCACATTTTTGTTTCATTTCAATTCAATATCAAATTCAACTCAAAATTTTGATTGATTCCTCAGTAGAAATCATAGCATTCTCCACGAAGTATTTCCATTCTCATGCTCAAATGTCCGTACCAACGCTGTGGATAGAGTCGCACGTAGCGGCAAACCAGTGGATTGGGAAATATATTGGTGACTTAAGTATTTCGGTCATTATTTCCTTGAAATACCTGGTAAAGTACATTAAATACCACGTTAAATAAAGAATTGAATGTTCAAACCTACAACAAAGTGTGCCTACCTTCTCTTGATCATTTTCCATGATAGTTTGGAAACAGTTTGAAGAATTTCCGCACTTGATTTTATACGCAGTCACCCATTGATCATAACTTGCTGGTCTACCTTGTGTTACAATTCCGGAAACCGCATTAGGCATTCTTAAATCGATTTGAATCCAGTCTCCGATTTGAGCTAAAACAAAAAAGATCAATCAAAAAATAAAATTTTGGTACTCCCGTAGTATGTGTACCAGGTTAGGGTTAGGCCATAATTATATTTCGATTTACCGTATTTAAGTTCTATTACGAGTTCGGGGACCGTTTGTATCAGCCAAGTAAATACACCCCCTGCCCATAATAATCAGTCCCTTTACACAACTTGATGTAAAGTAGGCAAACAAAATTGGTTACCTCCATACTGGTACACACAGTTCTGGAGCGCCGAAATTTAAACCCAGCGTTTGAAAGAAAAAAACATGATTCAACAATTAGTATAAACTGGTGCGAGACTTTCTTCTACATCTCAAGTAATACTTTTATAAATGATCCGGAAAAAATATTGGTATATATTTTACCTAATATTTTTTATTATTTGACACGACGAGGACCTATATATCGTTTCGTTACTATGTTGTTGATGATTTTAGTATTCGTTTTGTTGTTGTGAAAAAAATCACTTTCATCTTTAACTACTGGACCACTTGGTATGAAAGTTCAGTGGTTAGTGATTGTTGTTGTCGCACAAAAGCAGTTACTTTTATTTAGTTCCAAAATTCCTGTGGGCTCTATCGGATTCGAGTTCTAATTTGGATTTTTTGTATGATGACGCCATCAAAATTAAAAATTGCGTTTGTGGCGGTTCCGCGTTAGAAATCGTAGCAATCTGGTGGTCAGTCGGAGTCGCGAAACACGGTGCCGGTACTGTAAAAGATTCTATACTCGTACTAAGGGCTACTTCGTTTTGGCCTCCGTGTTCCCTATATTTGGAGATCACTCGCTTCTATTATTAAAATGCTGCATTGACACCCACGGAGTGCATAACCTGGCGATATCAAGACATGGTAATAGCATCATTTTACTCAATAGATTGAAAAAACTCACGTTTCCGAGAAATCCATGCTCCATATGATTTTGGGTTTGATGCAGGCTGTTCATCTAATCTTCCATATTGTCCATGATGAAAACTTTCCCAATCGGAAGAGGTTGAGATATCCGCATCCGCAATGTCTCTGGACTTCATGCCCATTGCGCAAAATTCGACTGTGGGAAACATTTGATGTATTACTCGATTATTAGACCATTTAGGAATTTGTGTGATTTGGCCAGTAATTTGACTTCAATTATTTTGACTTCAAATGCTTTGATGATTTTTTTTTTAAATTTGTGAAAAAATGGATTATTTCATTAGTGTTGTTTTTGGAATTTGTAAGTGGTCATCTCAAAATCATATTTATAGAGGATAGTCTATTCAAAATATTGAACTCAATTTTTATGGCTATTGTTCAACTCAGTTTGCGAATTCCGGCAGCTATCTTCGTCTATAATGTTTTGCTCACGACTTGGCTTAGTCAATTTTATAAATATAATCCGCCGAAAATAGCCAGAATTTATATAATACAATTCTTACGTTTCTTATTCGGTGTGAAGACTTTCTTCATCATGATAATTGTATCTGTAAAACAGGTTACATAGTTGCAATAGAAAAGACTAATTCAAGTTTATCATTTTTAAAAACGTTTTTTTACAATAATCAGAAAAAATATGCGAAAATGGGTTTAATTATTTTTCGTTGCTCTGTTTTATTGTGCATATACTGTTCTATCTGTATCTCACTTCAACAAATGGCAATTCAGATAATGCAATTTTAGCAGATGTCTAATAAATACAGTTTATTATTATTTTAATACTTAGAAAAACTCATTCCTATTTGGCAAATGCTTTTACTAACGTCAGATACATAGAAACAAAGTTACCAATTTTTCTTAATTTAAAAGTACGCCGAGGTGAATTCAATTTTTACCTTCTAATTGTTTTACTCTTGCTTCAAGTGCTTCCGATGTCCCTGTTGCGCCAGTGTCACCTTTCGCACCTTTGTTTCCTTGAGAGCCAACTGGGCCTCTCTTGCCTGGCCTTCCTTGACATGTTGCCGTATTGCAAGAGTTTTGTTTGTCAGACATGAGAGCAGTGCAAAACTCAAAAACATTGGGTATGTCACAGGAGGCGAGCATACCCACTGAAGTGAGGGATAGTAACACAACCACGAACTTACCCATATTGGATTAATGAAGCGAATTAAACTATTACTATCGAAATCGATATCAACTAAACCCCCTAATATAGCATTGGAACAATAAATATATTTTGAAATTTCAATATCAGAAAAATTTCATGGTAAACACGGTACACGATAAATTCTTATAATGCATCGCTGCCTTAACACAGTGTTTCCCAAACTTTTTCGTTACATACCTCCATATACATATTTGGGATTACACTATTCATCCCTCACTACGCATAAAAACATTGTTTTCGTTTGTCTAAATTTTCCTTTGCACTTCGACTCGCCCACACACAATAGCTTATTATATATCGATAATTACGTATTGAATATAATAATACTAAGTAACTGAACAATATTTGTAAAATACACCAGATACAAAGAAACTCCTCCACGGCTGGGAAACGTTGCCTCAACAGCTTTAGGAGCGACTCTCATTTACATTCGTCTTTCGAATTTACATTCACATGTCTTGCAGCCATCAACAGTATGACCAGGCGTAGATTGTCCGCATTCCTCACCTCTCTGCTTTAGTATTGCATGACCATTTTTGGTATTGAGCTCATTTAACCTGACAATGTCATTTTGAATTCCATTACACTTGGGAATTATTCGTCATGTCTCGAAATACTCTCGACATGCGCGTGTACGGTGATAGCATCACTGTGGCAATTTGTGGTTAAATTACTAAGGGCACAAAGGTCTCGTTTATTCAGATAATCTAATCCTAGGCCTCGGATCCAACACTTAACCTACCAATTAATCACGCATTTTCTTTGAAAAAAGTCTAACAATATATTTTCTGATCATTTTCGTCACATTTATTTTGTTTTTTTTTTTACAAATATTTTTCAGCTGTTTCTCACTGGCGAAACCAAATTATAAACCTCATATGCCTGAACTTTCGTTCATCTCGCCTAACAACAATTTTTCTTTAGCCTTCAAAAGAGTTCGTGATGTTGAGTGTTCAAATATTATCGATAAATCTGCTATTTCCAATAAGACGCATTCTAATGTTCAATCATTCTACTTGGATAAAAAAAATATGTTTCGGACCAATCTGTCAAAATCCAACAAATAAAAAGATTTGTGTGTTGTAGAAATAAATTTTAATAATTTTTTTTTCTCGAAAACGGCCATTCCCTAGTATCCAAGCACTTTTCACCTCAGCAAATTTACCTTTTGTTATCAAGCCAATGAAAAACATAAGAATTTCATTCTTAATATATGAAAGCTTCACCGATTTCAAATCCCACTTCCGAACTTTGAACTTCTTTTTTATCCATATAAAATATTTTATACAGTCCAATAACAAGTTTATAAATTGATAACGTTGGCATTATTAGATGCAAATGTTGAAAACTTGCTTTCTATTTTATGATTCATGATCAATCATCATATACTGTACTTGATTCGAAAAACATCGAGAAAGCTCGATGAGAGACATAATCTGAAAGAGCTCCCAAAGAGTAATTTACGACCCTTGGTTTAAATGGTTAACATAGCTGGGGTTACCATATTTTTGTGACTTCAAAGCGGGACGCCTCCAAAGACAACGCCCCCTTAGCTGTGATTTTGTAACTTTACATTTTCCGATTTTACTACATAGTCCTACATTTAAAGCTATCCCGGCTGTCTTTATTGACCATATTGTCATCGAGAGTTCATGCGCATATTCTCTGTCCAAATATCGGACGTATGGTAAGCCTAAACATAGCGTATAGCCTATAATCAAGCGTCTTTGTGTCTAACCTTGTTTCTAATAAGTATTATTAGGGGAATTAGTGTTTCATAAGACAATTTCGTCGATTCGTCGCTTTTCCACACTAACAAGATTTGGAATTATGGTGTCATAATTGTTTTCTCGTAATTACTCCTCGCTTCTACAAATTCACATGGTTGTCCTTCTCTCTTGAGTCCGCTGCGATTATCTCGTATTGAGCTGTGTTTCGCTGACGTCATCCAGTCAGTCAGTCAGTCGTTTATTTTTCACCAACATGAAACATACACGTAATGCGAACAAAAATTAGAGAAAACATAAATAAAGGCATTTCATGGTGAAGGGTGACGCGAAAAAAACAATGTTGGTTATCTAGCAGCGACACCTGTGATAAATGTCTAACTTTGATACAAGTAAAATAGAATAAATCGAACACATTTAAGCAGTGAAGGAAAGAATGTCCAAGAAAATCCAAAACCGTAACAAAAAAAGAGACTCCAGGCACAACCAGGGTAACCATGGGCAACAGTATAGTAACATAACAGCAGTCTGACCACAGTCAGCGTCGTGGAACCCTACAAGAATATTGCTTTTGAGGCCGCGCGGTATGATAGTGGCCATGTACGCCGGGATACGTAATTAAGGCAGTTAGTTATTAGGAAATATATTTTGAAATATAAGCACATCTTGATGGTTACAATTATCTTAAATATGGGAGCAAGTTCAAGAAAGTATCCACTTACGCTATAAAAGTGTGTGACTTTTCAGTGTAGTGTTCGTCTAGCAGTGCCCATGACATCACAACAAGTCAAGATAAAAAAAGTTGTCCGTAGAGTATTGGAATAACAAAATTCACACTTTGGTTTTGTTTCACTTTGATTCAAATTCAAATCAAAATCTTGACTGATTTCTCAATAGAAATCGTAGCATTCTCCACGAAGTATTTCCATTCTCATGCTCAAATGTACATGCCAACGCTGTGGATAGAGTCGCACGTAGCGGCAAACCACTGTATTGGGAAATATATTTGTGACTTTAGTATTTCGGTCATTATTTCCTTGAAATACCTGGTAAAGTATATTAAATACAACGTTAAATACAAAATTAAATGTTTAAACTTACAACAAAGTGTGTCTACCTTCTCTTGATTATTTTCCATGATGGTTTGGAAACTATTTGTAAAATTTCCGCACTTGATTTTATACGAAGTCACCCATTGATCATAACTTGTTGGTCTACCTTGTGTTACAACTCCAGACACCGCTTTAGGCATTCCTAAATCGATTTGAATCCAATCTCCGATTCGGGCTGGAACAAAAGAGTTCAATCAAAAACTAATATTTTAGTACTCCCGTAGTATGTCTACCAGATTAGGGTTGGGCCATAGTTTTATTCTTATTTTTCTTATTTTAGTTCTATTACGAGTTCGGGGACTGTTTGTGTTACCCGATTGAATATACCCCCTGTCCATAGATTTCAGTCCCTGTACACAACTTGATGTAAAGTAGGTGAACAAAATTAGTTACCTTCATACTGGTACACACACGCCTGGTGCGTTAAAAATTTAACCCAGCGTTTAAAAAACAAAAACATGATTTAACAATTAGTATAAATTGGTGTGAGATTTTTTTTTAAATTTCTAGTAATACCTTTATAAAGCATCCGGAGTGACATTGGTATATATTTTATATTATTGGACACGACGCGGACTTATATATCGTTTATGGATACGTAAGTAGACCTATGGATCGTTTTTGGACACGTTAGTGGACATAACGATCGTTTTGTTATTATGTTGCTTTTGTTATGGTTCTTGTTCTTTGACACACAATAGAACACCTAGTGGACATCTTAATAAACCGCTTTTCTCTTTGATTACTGGACCAATTTCTTCAAAATTGTCATTGGTTAAAGATGGGATTTTTCTCTAAAAGGCTATTACTTTTATTCATTTCAAATTTTTATGTTAGCTCTGTGGGAACTATTTTTGTTCGCTATGAAGTCAGCGAACGTTCTGCGGACGCAGATGCTGGCACTCCTCTTCATACTCTTTTGATCACGTGCCATCGAACGTCGGGGTTTCGTAACGAAATCTTTGCTTCGCTAAGATTTGGGGAATGGTGAATGGCGCCGTACCGGTACTTGGTGTTATATTACAGTAGTGACTCGGATCGTTGGTGTTACTACAGTTGTGAGTCGGACCATCTTGTAAATTTGGAGGTTTTTGAGGGTACGGTACCGGTAACGTCGAAGGTATTCGCTTTTCAATTTGGATTTTTGTGTGATGACGCCATCGAAATTAAACATTGCGTGTGTGTGCGGTTCCGCGTTCGCTATCGTAGCGATCGCGTGGTCAGTCGAAGTTGCGAAATTCGGTGCCGGTACTGTATAAGATTTAATACCCGTACTAGGCTACTTCATTTTGGCTTTCGTGTCCCATATATTTGAGCAATGATCTCTTCTATCATAAAAACTCTGCATCGATACCCACGGAGTTCATAATCTGGCGATATCAAGACAGGGTAATAACCGCATTTCACTCAGAAGATTGGAAACTTTAAAACTCACGTTTTCGAGAAATCCACGCTCCATAGGAAGTTGGGTTTGATGCAGGCTGTTCATCTAATCTTCCATATTGTCCATGATGAAAACTTTCCCAATCGGAAGAGGTTGAAATATCTGCATCCGCAATGTCTCTGGACTTCATGCCCATTGCGCAAAATTCAACAATGGGGAACTTTTGATGTATTTCTCGATTATCAGATCATTTAGGAATTTGTATTAATACTCCGATTGTCAGTAATTTGATGTAATGAATTTTAGTTTTTAATTTCAAACATTTTTGCATCTCAACAAATTTTGCATCTCGAAAAAAAAATAAATGCTTTGATGAACTTGCTTTAAAAAAATCCGGAACATTTTATTATAGGGTTGTTTACGGAACTTGTAAGTGGTTATCTCGAAAACATATTTATAGATGAAAATTTTTTCAAAATATTGACCTCGATTTTTATGGTTATCTTAAACCTATTTTCTAAATTCCGGCAGCTATATTTGTCTATCACGTTTGGCTCACGACTTAGTATAGTCGTTTTTATAACATAGTTCACTGAAAATAGCTAGAATTTATATATATATATGAATTGTTACGTTTCTGATTCGGTGTGAAGACTTTCTTCATCATGGCAATTGTATCTGTAAAACAGATCACATAGTTGCAATAGAAAAGACTAATTCGAAAAATATGCAATAATGTGTTTAACTATTTTTCGTTTTTTTTTGCATAAACCGGTCCAATTTGTGTTTTGTATATCTCACTTCTACAAATGGCAGTTCCGATAATGCAATTTTACCATGTGTCTAATAAATACATTTTGTTATTATTTCAATAAATATTAAAAATTAGGTAAATTCTTTTACTAAACACAGATTTATAGAAACAAAGTTACCAAACTTTTCTTAATTTAAAAGTACTCCAAGATAAATGCGACCTTCTAGTTGTTTTACTCTTGCTTCAAGTGCTACCGATGTCCCAGTTGCGCCTGTGTCACCCTTCACACCTTTGTTTCCTTTGGGGCCAACTGGTCCTCTCTTGCCTGGCCTTCCTTGACATGTTGCCTTACTGCAAGAGTTTCGTTTGTCGGACATGAGAGCAGTACAAAACTCGAAAACATTGGGTATGTCACAAGAAGCGAGCATACCCAATGAAGTGATGGAAAGTAATACAACTATGAACTTCGCCATATTGGACTACTCAATGACTCAGATTAAACTAATACTACCGAAATTGATTTAATTCAATTAAATCGCTTAATCTAGCATTGGAACAATAAATATATTTTGAAATCTCAATATCAGAAAAATGTCATGAGTAGACAGTAAATCCTTATAATGCACAGATGCCTTAACACAGTGTTTTTCCAATTTTTTTCGTTTCACACCTCCATATGCTTATGTAGGATTACTTTATTCCTCCCTCGCTACGCATAAAAACATTGTTTCCGTTTGTCTAGATTTTTGAAGATCTTTCGCACTTTGACTCGCACACACACAGTTATATTATAGTTTATAATATATATATCGATAATTACGTATTAAAATAACACTAAATAACTGAACAATATTTGGGAAAATACACCAGATACAAATGAACTCCTACTACACGGTCCTTAACAGTTTTAGAAGCGACTCTCATTTACATTCTTTTTTTTCTAATTTAAATTCACATGACCTGCAGCCATCAACAGTATGACCAAGCGTAGATTATCTGCAATCCTAACCTTTTTTGAAGCTTAGCTGCTGCTTCCGTATCGCATGAACATTTTTGGTATTCAGCTCTCTCAAAGACCTTAAGGTCATCTGCGACATGCGCGTGTACGGTAATAGCATTACTTTGACAATTTGTGGTTAAATTACTCAGGGCACGAAAGTCACGTTTATTCAAGTAATCTAATCCAATGCCTCGGGGTTGGGAAACACTGTTTTAGTCTAAATCAAGATAAACAAGAGTAAAGATTACGGTTGCGAAGAGTGATGGTGGACAACAACAATGTAATACCAACACGAATATTTTTCATTTGTTTCTCGCTGGCGAAACCAAATTAAAAACCTCATATATATGCCTGAACTTTCGTTCATTTCACATAACGACGATTTTTCTTTAGCCTCCAAAAGAGTTCGTAATGTTGAGTGTTTAAATATTATCGTTAAATCTGCTATTCCCACTGAGACGCTTTCTAATGTTCAATCATTTTACTTGGATAATGAAATATGTGAAACGATATATATATCTTGTTTATATTTATTGCGATTGTTTCCATTGTTAAAATCTATGACAATAAACTTACATAATCAGACTCGTTAGACCAGGACTGTTTTGGCTTGAATGACTACCTCAGCAGGCTCGCCGTATCGCGCTCAGCGTTATACGCTCGATGCCGCATGTGTGATTACCCTGCGTGGGTTCGAATCCAATGCGGGTTAAATTATGTGCCAGAGGATTGCTGGACTCCTGGTCTGTTACGGCTTCCTCCACTATCTTGATCGGCGGCCATTTACTGCCAAGTCCATGCATCTTAATACAACTAACAGCCTAACTGTTCCCACACCCGACTAGAGGACGTGGTTCTCCATATGATTAGGCCGTATTATATAGGCTTTCCTCTACCCGATATAAACATGTAAATCTTATTCTAACTGTTTAATGACACCTTTTCCTCAATCAGTTTTTTGTACGGCAGTCACATTTATTTACATTCTTTATATAATTTCCTAAACAAGTGATCATCATTTCATTTCTAATCCAATTTTATCACCCGAATTCAATAGAACACAATTGTCACGCTATTGCTCGTGTTGTAACAGTTGAGGAATTCCTTGAAATTCGCGGGTATTCGACGCTGGCATTTGTTTTGGTGTTTGTGGCATCTGTCATTATGGTATGACACAAATGGTATGAGAAATAAGGCAACCAATGTAACTTGGATGGCAACAGCGCAAATCGCGGCAACAAGTGCAATGATTGTTGTATCGGCAGTCGTTTCGACGATGAGGCATCCTGTATTGGGAACATCAAATTTTCTCGTATAAATTTGAAACGAAGTAAATGGTACAGCAAAGTTAATCTCAAGTAATACAGCGGATGTTGAACTTAAGAACTGTGAGACTCGTTACGTCATTTTTTCCATATGTTCATCGCAGTATAGAAGTCGATGTCTTAACCAGATAGGAGAAAAGATAAACAAGATCATGAAACTGTAAATATGAAGATTGAACTTCACAAAAAAATTGGAAAAGTTTATCGTTGGAAGTGATGTACTAATGTAGCACAAATTCCATCTACAAAAAACGAAAATTCTTTTACAGTTAATCAGATCAAATATGTGTGCGCATTCGTTACATCTTTGCGGCTTGACTATTTTAGATGGGCCCATGGCTACGTGTACCTGTGTATGGTCTGAAGTAGTTCCACAATTTTGTTGGAGAAAGCAATCAAGCTCTCAGACTCAGTCTATTGAAACTCAATGTTTGTATGTTAGTTTCAAAGTACAACAAGGATTCGAATTAGGAAATGAGGATGTCAAGTTATGAACCATCACGGTAATAGGAATAAGTGTTTCAAATGTAGTTTTATTCGATCGGGATATCTAAGTATTTTTGAGTTACAATATTTTGGATTTTGTAATCAGTAAAAAATGCTTTTCTTCCTGCATGACTGATGATTCAATTAAGTTAAAACTTTTCAGTATCTGAATATGGAAATAGTTCTAGAATGCAATTACTTATTATCAAATTACCTCTGTGTCATATGATATCCAATATCCAGAATTTCGCTGCCTTATTTTAATTTTCAGTCCACAAAGTTTGGCTGGCTGCGTCACTGTCGTCATTCGAGTTTTACTTCCTTCAATCAACATGTATAAAACAGACTATGAATGGTATCGATAAACTTTCTTTGTAATTTTAAACATTTAAAACTTCATGAACTACCTGTACTTCATATTTTACAGAGTTAATGTCTAGCAGGCATAGAATGGAACCAACGCTTGAAAATGTTCCTAAAGTGTGAGTTATTGTTACAATAAAGGCTATTTGGCATTTTTGACTTGTGCAACAGCATTCAAAAAACTTTTCGTCAATACGCCAGCTTAATGATTAAGTGTAATTAATCTACTTCGCTTTTAAACAGTTGCAACTAATTCATTATACAGCATTACATAAAACAAAAATTTGACAATTTCTAATTAAAAGTCTTTTGTCCTTACTCGCGTTGTTGGCATCATTGGCTCCTATTTATTCTTGACATACATATTACTCTTGTCTCATACTTTGTCAAATATGAGTGCAATTGTTGTTTTTAATTTTGGATCATTTCCACGAACAGAAAAAGTAATAAATCCATGCAACGCGTTATGTGACCAACTTTGTTTCACGTAATTCTATACTCCAGAACATTTGGATCACTTCGACATATCGGAAAACAATATTATCAGGGTATTTTCAGAAGTTCGGTAAACGGACTACAAATACTAAATTCCACAGTTTATGATCAAAAAACCGTATAAAAACGCAGGTCAGATGAAATGAATTTTTTTTAATAGTTGCATATTCGGGATAGCTTCTATTTATACATAAATGAACGATTGTAAAACTGTTGGACATCTCATGTTAAAATCGTATGCTATGCATCGTATCACATCACCCAATTGGGAGAATTCCGAACTGGAAATATTTCGTTCTTTCAAAAATAGTTTTTCTTTATATATATGTCGTTATATATCAACGATCGGATTTAATTAAACTCATTTTGTTTAGTAGCGTAATTTCGTTTTTTTTTGAATAGTTTCGAAGGTTTATTTCGTTGATGTAAGCTTATTCTGTAAAAATCAATTTGTTTCATTTCAATTCAATATCAAATTCAACTCAAAATCTTGATTCCTCAGTAGAAATCATAGCATTCTCCACGAAGTATTTCCATTCTCATGCTCAAATGTCCGTACCAACGCTGTGGATAGAGTCGCACGTAGCGGCAAACCACTGGATTGGGAAATATATTGGTGACGTTAGTATTTCGGTCATTATTTCCTTGAAATACCTGGTAAAGTACATTAAATACCACGTTAAATACAGAATTGAATGTTCAAACCTACAACAAAGTGTGCCTACCTTCTCTTGATCATTTTCCATGATAGTTTGGAAATTGTTTGTAGAATTTCCGCACTTGATTTTATACGCAGTCACCCATTGATCATAACTTGCTGGTCTACCTTGTGTTACAACTCCGGAAACCGCATTAGGCATTCTTAAATCGATTTGAATCCAGTCTCCGATTTGAGCTAAAACAAAAAAGATCAATCAAAAACTAAAATTTTGGTACTCCCGTAGTATGTGTACCAGGTTAGGGTTAGGCCATAATTATATTTCGATTTTCCGTATTTAAGTTCTATTACGAGTTCGGGGACCGTTTGTATCAGCCAAGTAAATACACCCCCTGCCCATAATAATCAGTCCCTTTACACAACTTGATGTAAAGTAGGCAAACAAAATTGGTTACCTCCATACTGGTACACACAGTTCTGGAGCGCCGAAATTTAAACCCAGCATTTAAAAGAAAAAAACATGATTCAACAATTAGTATAAATCGGTGCGAGATTTTCTTCTACATCTCAAGTAATACTTTTATAAATGATCCGAAAAAAAAATGGTATATATTTTACTTAATATTTTTTATTATTTGACACGACGAGGACCTATATATCGTTTCGTTACTATGTTGTTGATGATTTTAGTATTCGTTTTGTTGTTGTAAAAAAAATCACTTTCATCTTTAACTACTGGACCAATTGGTATGAAAGTTCAGTGGTAAGTGATTGTTGTTGTCGCACAAAAGCAGCTACTTTTATTTAGTTCCAAAATTCCTGTGGGCTCTATCGGATTCGATTTCTAATTTGGATTTTTTGTATGATGACGCTATCAAAATTAAAAATTGCGTTTGTGGCGGTTCCGCGTTAGAAATCGTAGCAATCTGGTGGTCAGTCGGAGTCGCGAAACACGGTGCCGGTACTGTAAAAGATTCTATACTCGTACTAAGGGCTACTTCGTTTTGGCCTCCGTGTTCCCTATATTTGTATTATTAAAATGCTGCATTGATACCCAGTGGAGTGCATAACCTGGCGATATCAAGACATGGTAATAGCATCATTTTACTCAATAGATTGAAAAAACTCACGTTTCCGAGAAATCCATGCTCCATATGATTTTGGGTTTGATGCAGGCTGTTCATCTAATCTTCCATATTGTCCATGATGAAAACTTTCCCAATCGGAAGAGGTTGAGATATCCGCATCCGCAATGTCTCTGGACTTCATGCCCATTGCGCAAAATTCGACTGTGGGGAAACATTTGATGTATTACTCGATTATTAGACCATTTAGGAATTTGTGTGATTTGGCCAGTAATTTGCTGTGATAAATTTCAGTTTTTATTTTCAAACATTTTTGCTTTCCAACAAATTTTGCATTTCAATTATTTTGATTTCAAACGAAATGCTTTGATGATTTTTTTTTTCAATTTGTGAAAAAATGGATTGTTTCATTAGTGTTGTTTTTGGAACTTGTAAGTGGTCATCTCAAAATCATATTTATAGAGGATAGTCTATTCAAAATATTGAACTCAATTTTTATGGCTATTATTCAACTCAGTTCGTCTATAATGTTTTGCTCACGACTTGGCTTAGTCAATTTTATAAATATAATCCGCCGAAAATAGCCAGAATTTATATAATACAATTCTTACGTTTCTTATTCGGTGTGAAGACTTTCTTCATCATGATAATTGTATCTGTAAAACAGATTACATAGTTGCAATAGAAAAGACTAATTCAAGTTTATCATTTTTAAAAACGTTTTTTTACAATAATCAGAAAAAATATGCGAAAATGGGTTTAATTATTTTTCGTTGCTCTGTTTTATTGTGCATATACTGTTCTATCTGTATCTCACTTCAACAAATGGCAATTCCGATAATGCAATTTTAGCAGATGTCTAATAAATACAGTTTATTATTATTTTAATACTTAGAAAAACTCATTCCTATTTGGCAAATGCTTTTACTAACGTCAGATACATAGAAACAAAGTTACCAATTTTTCTTAATTTAAAAGTACGCCGAGGTGAATTCAATTTTTACCTTCTAATTGTTTTACTCTTGCTTCAAGTGCTTCCGATGTCCCTGTTGCGCCAGTGTCACCTTTCGCACCTTTGTTTCCTTGAGAGCCAACTGGGCCTCTCTTGCCTGGCCTTCCTTGACATGTTGCCGTATTGCAAGAGTTTTGTTTGTCAGACATGAGAGCAGTGCAAAACTCAAAAACATTGGGTATGTCACAGGAGGCGAGCATACCCACTGAAGTGAGGGATAGTAACACAACCACGAACTTACCCATATTGGATTAAAGCAGCGAATTAAACTATTACTATCGAAATCGATATCAACTAAACCCCCTAATATAGCATTGGAACAATAAATATATTTTGAAATTTCAATATCAGAAAAATTTCATGGTAAACACGGTACACGATAAATTCTTATAATGCATCGCTGCCTTAACACAGTGTTTCCCAAACTTTTTCGTTACATACCTCCATATACATATTTGGGATTACACTATTCATCCCTCACTACGCATAAAAACATTGTTTTCGTTTGTCTAAATTTTCCTTTGCACTTCGACTCGCCCACACACAATAGCTTATTATATATCGATAATTACGTATTGAATATAATAATACTAAGTAACTGAACAATATTTGTGAAAATACACCAGATACAAAGAAACTCCTCCACGGCTGGGAAACGTTGCCTCAACAGCTTTAGGAGCGACTCTCATTTACATTCGTCTTTCGAATTTACATTCACATGTCTTGCAGCCATCAACAGTATGACTAAGCGTAGATTGTCCGCATTCCTCACCTCTCTGCTTTAGTATTGCATGACCATTTTTGGTATTGAGCTCATTTAACCTGACAATGTCATTTTGAATTCCATTACACTTGGGAATTATTCGTCATGTCTCGAAATACTCTCGACATGCGCGTGTACGGTGATAGCATCACTGTGGCAATTTGTGGTTAAATTACTAAGGGCACAAAGGTCTCGTTTATTCAGATAATCTAATCCTAGGCCTCGGATCCAACACTTGACCTACCAATTAATCACGCAATCATTTTCTTTGAAAAAAGTCTAACAATATATTTTCTGATCATTTTCTTCACATTTATTTTGTTGTTTTTTTTACAAATATTTTTCAGCTGTTTCTCACTGGCGAAACCAAATTATAAACCTCTTATGCCTGAACTTTCGTTCATCTCGCCTAACAACAATTTTTTTTTAGCCTTCAAAAGAGTTCGTGATGTTGAGTGTTCAAATATTATCGATAAATCTGCTATTTCCAATAAGACGCATTCTAATGTTCAATCATTTTACTTGGATAAAAAAAAATATGTTTCGGACCAATCTGTCAAAATCCAACAAATAAAAAGATTTGTGATTTGTGAAAAAAAAAAAATTTTTTTTTCTCGAAAACGGCCATTCCCTAGTATTCAAGCACTTTTCACCTCAGCAAATTTACCTTTTGTTATCAAGCCAATGAAAAACATAAGAATTTCATTCCTAATATATGAAAGCTTCACCGGTTTCAAATCCCGTTTCCGAACTTTGAACTTCTTTTTTATCCATATAAAATATTTTATACAGTCCAATAACAAGTTTATAAATTGATAATGTTGGCATTATTAGATGCAAATGTTGAAAACTTGCTTTCTATTTTATGATTCATGATCAATCATCATATACTGTACTTGATTCGAGAAACATCGAGAAAGCTCGATGAGAGACACAATCTGAAAGAGCTCCCAAAGAGTAATTTTCGACCCTTGGTTTAAATGGTTAACATAGCTGGGGTTACCATATTTTTGTGACTTCAAAGCGGGACGCCTCCAAAGACAACGTCCCCTTAGCTGTGATTTTGTAACTTTACATTTTCCGATTTTACTACATAGTCCTACATTTAAAGCTATCCCGGCTGTCTTTATTGACCATATTGTCATCGAGAGTTCATGCGCATATTCTCTGTCCAAATATCGGACGTATGGTAAGCCTAAACATAGCGTATAGCCTATAATCAAGCGTCTTTGTGTCTAACCTTGTTTCTAATAAGTATTATTAGGGGAATTAGTGTTTCATAAGACAATTTCGTCGATTCGTCGCTTTTCCACACTAACAAGATTTGGAATTATGGTGTCATAATTGTTTTCTCGTAATTACTCCTCGCTTCTACAAATCCGCATGGTTGTCCTTCTCTCTTGAGTCCGCTGCGATTATCTCGTATTGAGCTGTGTTTCGCTGACGTCATCCACTTACGCTATAAAAGTGTGTGACTTTTCAGTGTAGTGTTCATCTAGCAGTGCCCATGACATCACAACAAGTCAAGATAAAAAAAGTTGTCCATAGAGTATTGGAATAACAAAATTCACACTTTGGTTTTGTTTCACTTTAATTCAAATTCAAATCAAAATCTTGACTGATTTCTCAATAGAAATCGTAGCATTCTCCACGAAGTATTTCCATTCTCATGCTTAAATGTACATGCCAACGCTGTGGATAGAGTCGCACGTAGCGGCAAACCACTGGATTGGGAAATATATTTGTGACTTTAGTATTTCGGTCATTATTTCCTTGAAATACCTGGTAAAGTATATTAAATACAACGTTAAATACAAAATTAAATATTTAAACTTACAACAAAGTGTGCCTACCTTCTCTTGATTATTTTCCATGATGGTTTGGAAACTATTTGTAAAATTTCCGCACTTGATTTTATACGAAGTCACCCATTGATCATAACTTGTTGGTCTACCTTGTGTTACAACTCCAGACACCGCTTTAGGCATTCCTAAATCGATTTGAATCCAATCTCCGATTCGGGCTGGAACAAAAGAGTTCAATCAAAAACTAATATTTTAGTACTCCCGTAGTATGTCTACCAGGTTAGGGTTGGGCCATAGTTTTATTCCTATTTTTCTTATTTTAGTTCTATTACGAGTTCGGGGACTGTTTGTGTTAGCCGAGTGAATATACCCCCTGTCCATAGATTTCAGTCCCTGTACACAACTTGATGTAAAGTAGGCAAACAAAATTAGTTACCTCCATACTGGTACACACACGCCTGGTGCGCCAAAATTTTAACCCAGCGTTTAAAAAACAAAAACATGATTTAACAATTAGTATAAATTGGTGTGAGATTTTTTTTTTTTTGATTTTCGAATATAAGGACTGCTTCGCTTTGGTCCACGTGTCCATATATGTGTCCACGTGTCCACGTGGTCAGTCGAAGTTGCAAAATTCAGTGCCGGTAGTGTAAAAAATTTGATACCCGTACTAGGATACTTCATTTTGGTTTTCGTGTCCCATATATTTGAGCATTGATCTCTTCTATTAAAAAAAACACTGCATCGATACCCATTTTGACGATATTAAGACAGGATATCAACAGCATTTCACTCAGAAGATTGGAAACTTTAAAACTCACGTTTTCGAGAAATCCATGATCCATATGAAGTTGGGTTTGATGCAGGCTGTTCATCTAATCTTCCATATTGTCCATGATGAAAACTTTCCCAATCGGAAGAGGTTGAAATATCTGCATCCGCAATGTCTCTGGACTTCATGCCCATTGCGCAAAATTCAACTGTGGGGAACATTTGATGTATTACACGATTATCAGATCATTTAGGAATTTGTATTAATACTCCGATTGAAGTAATTTGGTGTAATGAATTTTAGTTTTTATTTTCAAACATTTTTGCATCTCAACAAATTTTGCATCTCGAAAAAAAATAAATGCTTTGATGAACTTGCTTTAAAAAAATCCGGAACATTTTATTATAGGGTTGTTTACGGAACTTGTAAGTGGTTATCTCGAAAACATAATTATAGATGAAAAATTTTTCAAAATATTCACCTCGATTTTTATGGTTATCTTAAACCTACTTTCTAAATTCCGGCAGCTATATTTGTCTATCACGTTTTGCTCACGATTTAGTATAGTCGTTTTTATAACATAGTTCACTGAAAATAGCTAGAATTTATATATATATATATATATATGAATTGTTACGTTTCTGATTCGGTGTGAAGACTTTCTTCATCATGGCAATTGTATCTGTCAAACAGATCACATAGTTGCAATAGAAAAGACTAATTCGAAAAATATGCCATAATGTGTTTAACTATTTTTCGTTTTTTTTTCATAAACCGGTTCAATTTGTGTTTTGTATCTCACTTCTACAAATGGCAGTTCCGATAATGCAATTTTAACATGTGTCTAATAAATACAGTTTGTTATTATTTCAATAAATATTAAAAATTAGGTAAATTCTTTTACTAAACACAGATTTATAGAAACGAAATTTATTTTCCAAATTCAAAAGTACACCAAGATAAATACGACCTTCTAGTTGTTTTACTCTTGCTTCAAGTGCTACCGATGTCCCTGTTGCGCCTGTGTCACCCTTCACACCTTTGTTTCCTTTGGGGCCAACTGGTCCTCTCTTGCCTGGCCTTCCTTGACATGTTGCCTTACTGCAAGAGTTTTGTTTGTCGGACATGAGAGCAGTACAAAACTCGAAAACATTGGGTATGTCACAAGAAGCGAGCATACCCACTGAAGTGAGAGATAGTAATACAACCATGAACTTCGCCATATTGGACTACTTAATGACTCAGATTAAACTAATACTACTGAAATTGATTTAATTCAATCAAATCGCTTAATCTAGCATTGGAACAATAAATATATTTTGAAATCTCAATATCAGTAAAATGTCATAAGTAGACAGTAAACCCTTATAATTCTTAGATGCCTTAACTAGGGCTGGGCATTTTCGAATACCTTGTGATTTCAGAATCGAATCGAATAATATTTTTCGAATCGAATCGAATCTCGAATACTTGAAAATATATAATTGTAAGCGATTTTATTATAGTAATTGGTCCTCTCAACACATGAATTACCGAAGACATATAATAAATCACCCAGATAGATTACTGAGCGCTCACACACAATAACAAACACGTTTTATCAATAACTCACTACAGAAAATAGTCATATGTTAGAATTTCGTGTAAAAAATATGACTCCAATAAAAAAAAATTGGGGAATTCACCTCGACCATTAGCGGAAAGATAAAAACAAGATGGCGGCGATTCGAAATTTAGCTCTGAACCGATTCGAATAATTTACTATTCGATTCGATTCGAATATTCGATTCGAAATGCCCAGCCCTAGCCTTAACACAGTGTTTTCCATTTTTTTCGTTCCACACCTCCATATATATGCCTATGTAGGATTACTTTATTCCTCCCTCGCAACGCATAAAAACACTGTTTTCGTTTGCTCGATTTTCAAGGATCTTTCGCACTTTGACTCGCACACACACAGTTTTAATATACTTTATAAGATATCGATAATTACGTATTAAATTAATACTAAATAACTGAACAATATTTGTGAAAATACACCAGATAGAAAGGCACTCCTACACGGTCCTTAACAGTTTTAGAAGCGACTCTCATTTACATTCCTTTTTTTCTAATTTACATTCACATGACCTGCAGCCATCAACAGTATGACCAAGCGTAGATTGTCTACAATCCTAATCTTTTTTGAAGCTTAGCTGCTGCTTCCGTATCGCATGAACATTTTTGGTATTGAGCTTTCTCAACCTGGCAATGTCATTTTGAATTTCATTAAACGCGGGAATTATTCGGCATGTCTCAAAGGCCTTAAGGTCATCTGCGACATGCGCGTGTACGGTGATAGCTTTACTGTGACAATTAGCGGTTAAATTACTCAGGGCACGAAAGTCACGTCTATTCCTATAATCTAATGCCTCGGGGTTGGTGAACACTGTTTTAGTCCAAATCAAGATGAGTAAAGAATACGGTTGCGAAGAATGGTGGTGGACAATATCAATGTGATACCAACACGAATACTTTTCATTTGTTTCTCGCTGGCGAAACCAAATTAAAAACCTCATATGCCTGAACTTTCGTTCATCTCACATAACGACGATTTTTCTTTAATCTTCAAAAGAGTTCGTAATGTTGAGTGTTTAAATATTATCGATAAATCTGCTATTCCCACTGAGACGCATTCTAATGTTCAATCATTTTACTTGGATAATGAAATATGTGAAACGATATATCTTGTTTATATTTATTGCGATTGTTTCCATTGTTAAAATCTATGACAATAAACTTACATAATCAGACTCGTTAGACCAGAGCTGTTTTGGCTTGAATGACTACCTCAGGAGGCTCGACCAGGACTGTTGCGGCTTGAATGACTACCTCAGCAGGCTCGACGTATCGCGCTCAACGTTATACGCTCGATGCCGCATGTGTGATTACCCTGCGTGGGTTCGAATCCAATGCGAGTTAAGTTATGTTCCAGGGGATTGCTGGACTCCTGGTCTGTTACGGCTTCCTCCACTATCTTGATCGGCGGCCATTTACTGCCAATTCCATGCATCTTAATACAACTAACAGCCTAACTGTTCCCACACCCGACTAGAGGACGTGGTTCTCCATATGATTAGGCCGTATTATATAGGCTTTCCTCTACCCCGATATAAACATGTAAATCTTATTCTAACTGTTTAATGACACCTTTTCTTCAATCAGTTTTTTGTACGGCAGTCACATTTATTTACATTCTTTATATAATTTCCTAAACAAGTGATCATCATTTCATTTCTAATCCAATTTTATCACCCGAATTCAATAGAACACAATTGTCACGCTATTGCTCGTGTTGTAACAGTTGAGGAATTCCTTGAAATTCGCGGGTATTCGACGCTGGCATTTGTTTTGGTGTTTGTGGCTTCTGTCATTATGGTATGACACAAATGGTATGAGAAATAAGGTAACCAATGTAACTTGGATGGCAACAGCGCAAATCGCGGCAACAAGTGCAATGATTGTTGTATCGGCAGTCGTTTCGACGATGAGGCATCCTGTATTGGGAACATCAAATTTTCTCGTATAAATTTGAAACGAAGTAAAGGGTACAGCAAAGTTAATCTCGAGTAATACAGCGGATGTTGAACTTAAGAACTGTGAGGCTCGTTACGTCATATTTTCCATATGTTTATCGCAGTATAGAAGTCGATGTCTTAACCAGATAGGAGAAAAGATAAACAAGATCATGAAACTGTAAATATGAAGATTGAACTTCACAAAAAATTGGAAAAGTTTATCGTTGGAAGTGATGTACTAATGTAGCACAAACTCCATCTACAAAAAACGAAAATTCTTTTACAGTTAATCAGATCAAATATGTGTGCGCATTCGTTACATCTTTGCGGCTTGACTATTTTAGATGGGCCCATGGCTACGTGTACCTGTGTATGGTCTGAAGTAGTTCCACAATTTTGTTGGAGAAAGCGATCAAGCTCTCAGACTCAGTCTATTGAAACTCAATGTTTGTATGTTAGCTTCAAAGTACAACAAGGATTCGAATTAGGAAATGAGGATGTCAAGTTATGAACCATCACGGTAATAGGAATAAGTGTTTCAAATATAGTTTTATTCGATCGGGATATTTAGGTATTTTTGAGTTACAATATTTTGGATTTTGTAATCAGTAAAAAATGCTTTTCTTCCTGCATGACTGATGATTCAATTAAGTTAAAACTTTTCAGTATCTGAATATGGAAATAGTTCTAGAATGCAATTACTTATTATCAAATTACCTCTGTGTCATATGATATCCAATATCCAGAATTTCGCTGCCTTATTTTAATTTTCAGTCCACAAAGTTTGGCTGGCTGCGTCACTGTCGTCATTCGAGTTTTACTTCCTTCAATCAACATGTATAAAACAGACTATGAATGGTATCGATAAACTTTCTTTGTAATTTTAAACTTTTAAAACTTCATGAACACCCTGTACTTCATATTTTACAGAGTTAATGTCTAGCAGGCATAGAATGGAACCAACGCTTGAAAATGTTCCTAAAGTGTGAGTTATTGTTACAATAAAGGCTATTTGGCATTTTTGACTTGTGCAACAGCATTCAAAAAACTTTTCGTCAATACGCCAGCTTAATGATTAAGTGTAATTAATCTACTTCGCTTTTAAACAGTTGCAACTAATTAATTATACAGCATTACATAAAACAAAAATTTGACAATTTCTTATTAAAAAGTAATAAATCCATGCAGCGCGTTATGTGACCAACTTTGTTTCACGTAATTCTATACTCCAGAACATTTGGATCACTTCGACATATCGGAAAACAATATTATCAGGGTATTTTCAGAAGTTCGGTAAACGGACTACAAGTACCAAATTCCACAGTTTATGATCAAAAAACCTTAAAAAAACGCAGGTCAGATGAAATGAATTTTTTTTTAATAGTTGCATATTCGGGATAGCTTCTATTTATACATAAATGAACGATTGTAAAACTGTTGGACATCTCATGTTAAAATCGTATGCTATGCATCGTATCACATCACCCAATTGGGAGAATTCCGAACTGGAAATATTTCGTTCCTTCAAAAATAGTTTTTCTTTATATATATGTCGTTATATATCAACGATCGGATTTAATTAAACTCATTTTGTTTAGTAGCGTAATTTCGTTTTTTTTTTTGAATAGTTTCGAAGGTTTATTTCGTTGATGTAAGCTTATTCTGTAAAAATCAATTTCCTTCATGTATGTTTGTTTTAGAATTTTGGATTTCATTGACCCAGGACGCCCTCTCGTTCTCGTATTTGGATTATGTACCTGACCCCCATTTCAAGGACATGAAGTGAGAGAAGTAACAGCGTTAAGTTCAAGTCATTAAACCCCGAGTGGATTCACAAACCATATGAGTCTTGAGTTAAGTCTGATTCCCATTAAATTTAAATGATCGATCAGTGGATGGAAAAAACAGTTCACGGTGGCTCTCTCATGAAATCCGATATCCAGAACTTCGCTGTTTTATTTTAATTTTTAGTCCACAAAGCTTGACTTGCTGTGTCACTGTCATCATTCGCGCTGGTTTTGCAATATCTGTGACAGTACTGTGGTTAGGTATTTGACCTTCGAGACAAATATGTTTCAGCATTGATTTATTGTTTTAGTGTGCATCGTGAGAGTGATGTCACGGCTGTCTTTGGCCTTGATTTTCGCATGTTCATGGTATGTTTAAAATTCTCGTCATTGATTACATTTGCCATTTGTATTCTGATGCCCTATCGCCTATAGTCGTAAAACCATAAAGTTTGAACAATGATCGCGTTTCCAATGCAAAGCGGTATGGAAGAGTTTTTAATATTTTAGTCAGCAGATTTCGAAATTTTTTGTTAGCAGGCTTAAAATCTTACTTGGCCTATATCCGTTTAAGAAGTACAATTTTAGTTTTAAAATGTTCATATTTATTGTATTTGGGCCGTTGTCGTATGCGTAATTCGAATAGAGATTTTTTTCACGCCATGGTTGCAACAAACATTGCAACATCAAAAATATTCATTTTAACTTTTACCTACGAAGGCATGTTTACAACCTTCTCAGTGAGTGGGTAACAGTTAGAGCAACATCAAAATTCTATATAGTATTTAATATTTTCACAATAGCATTTCGTCTTTATAGGTAAAGGATCATCTGGCATGGCGAAATTTAATAGCGATCTTGTTTCGAAAGACTCTATGATAAATTACTTTCTTCTCGTTCTATTGACGGATGTTGAATCTCCCTAATATATATTATAAAAGGTTTTTTATTCTTCTTTCAAAGAAGATATACGATCTAATTCAAATACACCGAGGTTAAGGACTCAGAGTAAAAATAGAATAGCATGTAGCAATGTTAAAACGATTTAAAATTTTTAGCGTAATACTTGCTTTTTTGCGTTGAAACTGATGCACACCTATAGGCTATATTCCATGCTAAATTAGCTTGGTAATGTACATTTCAGGCTAAGAAGAAGTGGTAATACAACCAATTCTCCAATGGTAAAATACTCTGTTTTAGTCTCTAGAATAACGATTATTTGCTATTCGCAGATTACAATTAGAAGGTCCGGAAATATTCTTAGACATTTTAGCAATGAGAAGTGTGCGCAGTCTGCTTGATTCATTCCCCTTACGGGTTTTCAAAAATGTCGCCGAGTATTGTCTTGTAGTTGTTATATTGGTAGCAATTGGAGATATTCTTCGTTTATTCGGCATAAGTATCTTAAGTAAGTATGAATTATGTTGTTCTGTAAATCATCTAGCATTTGGCTAACTATAAGATGACATTACATGAAAAAGGCCTTTCAACCCCAACTCATTGCCTATTACATAGGTTCTCAAAGTGCTCCGTACGGAGCCCCAGGGCTCCGCGAGAGAAACCCAGGGGCTCCGCGAGCTATTCGATTACTTTTCAAAATAATGACTTGGCTAATTTTGTAACTGCTCAAAGAAGCAATAACAGCTTTGATAAAATTTGACAACAATATAGCCTCGGAAAATGGCAAAATGCGGAATTAAAAAATGACATTATTTATAAGCTGGAGCGCAGCCAGGATTCTTAATTAAGAGGTGGGGATTTGAATCGGAAATTTCCGCGCAACATTCTTTGCGATTATAAAAAAACGTATAACCAGATTTCTGTTGCGTAAAATATTCAATGCATGGCCGTTAAAGTGTCTTGTCGTAATATTTCAATTGTACTCATAGTTACTCACGTTTCATTGGAGATTACTATCAGGATTACTGAAATGAAAGAATACTATTCTAAAATAACATAAAATACGTGATAAACTGCCAACTATAAATAAATTGGAGTCGTATTTTTGCGATATTGGAATTTGTCAAACTTGATTTGTTCTTTTGCACTTGAGATTATAATTAAGCAAGATATCGCCGTTTAAAAACTCACAAGATCTGGGCAAAATACGAACGAATAAAATTTATTTTAATGCATGCGGCTCCGTCGGTAGAATAAAAAAAGATAAATCGCGCACACAATTGACTGTGTTTCGATTTCGCAGTTACTATACGATGAATAACCGAAGAAAACCTAACATAACACCAAATTTTGTGATATACAATGCCTATAAAAGCGTTTTTAATCTGACGTGAGTCTGCTAAAACCAAACATATAGTGTGATCTTTTATTTTAAGTTTTAATATTTTAGAATGCCGTTTTTCAATCAAGAAATTTGGGTTGCGGATTTACCTCTTTATTATTAATTATTATTTTTAGCACTTCGTCGCCGATGACTATATGGTAACATGTTTTTCACATAAAACTCATAATTCCCCACGAGAACAAAAAAGCAATTATCGTCGTCATTGTGGAACAATACATGTATATGCCAAAGAAAATTTTTGATTTAGGGAGAATAAACACCGGCGTAAAGATGTTTAAAAACATGCCATGCTGACGAAAACTATCGGTGATTGTGACAACATGCAATCGCGCACGTTATTAGCGGCCTTCCGAAAATGTCAAAAGGGAAAAGATTCGACCCCTAGTTTAATATGTTTGTCAAGTGTCAACTTTACAGCTTTAGTAAGAGTATGTATAATTTATCTTTGAAATTGAGATTTATTTATGACTTGCATTAACCCTATTAAAGAAGGTTCAGCATTTAAATTAAGTACGTTTAACTTGCTCAGGAATATTAATCTGAAGGTAACAATTTTAACATTTATTTTGGGGCTCCGTGAATAATAGTCAACCTTTTCAAGGGCTCCGCAACACCAAAAGTTTGAGAACCCCTAATAGGCCCTATTAGCACTACTTCTTACAGAGTGTACACGAGTTAGTTCAACAAATAATTTAAGTGCCTAAAGAAAATTATGCCGTATCCAACTACTCCCGTGCAGCTAAACAAATTGTATTCAGAAATCAATTGTATCAAATATACCAAATACGATGTAAACTTGATCAATAGTTTTGATTTTAAACATGGTTTGGCACAGATACAATTCATTAATCATTAAAAATTGACTACATCGAAATAATGATGGTAGCGCAAATTCTCATAATAACCTATGTCAGGGTGGTCCGAGGTTGTCTTTTATTGTCCAAACCAGTGGTTCCCAAACTTGGGTCCGTGAAAAAATCTGTAATATGGCTAAGAGCTTGATAATACAAAAATTAAGTGCCTGAATTTGCAAAGACACATTTGTAGTCCTTTGCTGCTTTGCAATCACCGCTGGAGACACTGATTCTTAACTTTCTGTTTCAATCACGCTGACTCATTGTGATGTCAAAGAGCTATGAGCATGTGTTATCACAGAGAGAGATCAATTCATGCCACCACAAGTGTACTAACTGCAGAGCTATATAGGTGACGCTGCCCTTTTGCACGTTTTCCAAATATCGAAACAGACTAGATGTCACACCTGTCATTGGAGTTGCGCTTCATATTCTTTTGATCGTTTCACTATACAACGTATTGTTTTTTTGCTGTGATATTTTAATGTTCTGTTTTAGTGCACAAGGCCAGGAATCATTAAATACATTGCAAAGGTTGCGTCATGGATTTTTTTCGAAAAGTTTGGGAACAACTGGTTCGAACACATTAATAATTATTTGTCATTTATCAAGATAAAACATGCAAAAACTCAAACTCACTAAAACGTGCAAAAATTGTACTATATCTACATTTAGTGTAAGATTTCAAACTCATTACGGAGAAAGTGCCATCAGGAAAATTTGACGTTTTAGAATTTAGATTGTCACCGACACAACTTGCAGACATATTAAGCGAGCATTGTGATATTTTCCCTCCCACATCCAGTCAAAAATCTGTTTGAATTGGTCAGCTTTCCTTTCAAACTTATGTTTACAAAATAACTTACAAATAACTGCAGATTGGACACCCGGCAGGAATAATATCGTTCGGCCATTGCATTATTATTTAGTTATCTAGCAAAGCCAACTTAGGCTGATAGATTCGATTTTTAGTTGTCTATGAAACCTATTTCGTTAGCATATATTCCCGACCAAAATAATAGAAAGCCAGTTAACAATTTAGACTAGTCAATCACATTATTCAAATTATTTTTACTTCCTTCAATCCACATGTAGGGAAAACAGTCTATGAATGGTATCGATAAATTCCCTTTGTAATTTTAAATGTTTGGAACTTCATGAACACCCTGTACTTCATATTCTACAGAGTTAATGTCTAGCAAGCATGGAATGGAACCAACGCTTGAAAATGTTCCTAAATTGTGAGTTATTGTTACGATAAGGGCTACCGGCATTTTTGACTTGTGCTCAGAAATTACTTCAACTAACATCATTGTCAATACGCAAGCTTTCTAATGTTGTAATTAATCTACTTCGATTTTAAATAGTTGCAACTAATTAATTATACAGCATTACATGAAACAAAAATTTGACAATTTCTAATTAAAAGTCTTCCGTCCTTACTCGCGTTGTTGGAATCATTGGCTCCTATTTATTCTTGACATATGCATTACTCTTGTCTCATACTTTGCCAAATATGAGTGAAATTGTTGTTTTCTAATTTTAACTCATTTTCATGATTGAGAAAAGTAATAAATCCATGCAACGCGTTGTGTGACCAACTTTGTTTTAGGTTATTCTATATTTCAGTACATTGGGATCACTTCGACATATCGGAAAAAAATATTATCAAGATATTTTTAGAAGTGCGGTAATCGGACTTAAGGCACCAAATTCCACAGTTTATTATCAAAAAACCTTGGAAAAACGCAGGTCAGATATATTTTAAAATTTTTTTTTCAAATTGGTTGCATATTCGGGATAGCTGCCATTTATACATAAATGAACGACTGTAAAACTAATAGACATCTCATGTTAAAATCGTATGGTCATCACATCACCCAATTGGGAGAATTCCGAAAAGATTTCGCTTCTTCAAAAATTTTTTTTTTATATATAATTGGTTTTGTTTAGTAGCGTAATGTCGTTTTTTTTTTATAGTTTTGAAGGTTTATTTCGTTGATGTAAGCTTATTCTGTAAAAACGAATTTTCCTTGGTGTAGCCTATGTTTGTTTTAGAATTTTAGATTTCAGTAACCCAGGACGCCCTCTTGTTCTCGTATTTGGATCATGTACCTGACCCCCATTTCTGAAAGGGGTTGAGCGTCTCCCTACTCTTATGGAGGAATATCGTTCAAAAGTTGATTTTGTTGTGATATACACTCAAGAAGCACATGCGACGGACAGTCATTGGCATTTAAAAGACATGAAGTAAGGGAAGTAAGAAACAGCGTTAGGTCCAAGTCATTAAACTCCAAGTGGAGCCACGAACCATATAGGTCTTCAGAAATTCCGATATCCATGAATTGATAATTTCGACTCCAAATCCGATGGTTCCAAAAAGCATTACGTTTTGTAATTTTTCTCAGGCACCACATTTTCCTTCATAAAAGTCTTCATGATCGTCAGTCTGCCGCAGAAATTCTTAAAGACTACTTTTCGTGCCCTTTGGTGTTGGATGGAATAGAAAATGAAGCAACGAAGCATTATGGTACGGATCCGGATCGAATGGCAATCATCTACAACGGTTGCTTAGAATATATCAGTGCAAAAGGACCTTTTGGGTTTAAAGTAGAAGAAATGCTAATTGCTTTAAATCACATATTACAACGAAGTGAATAAGAATTTTTATACCACTCAAGTTATCAGTATGGCCTTCAATGTTGCAGTACCAATGGGGCATTCGCTATTATAATGCTCAATACCATGTTTGTATATATAGCAAGTAAGCTACCCCCTTATTTTCGAACTACCAGTAAAAGACATTTCAATAGGTATATCATCTAGAAATCTTTGAAGGCCAGCAACGTTAAACAAGGCTGTCCTTTTGTCAAAATCATCATGTTTTTTTTGTTCCAAAGTTATTTGTATTATTGATTTTTTTTGCTATATTATAAAAAATGTTATTTAAAATATCAAACATGTAAAGAATTCATGAAGGTACATAAGAAAATTGCGGAAAGCAATCTTTAGTACCAGATGGTTTATTTCTATGCATGCCAACTGTTTTTATAACATTTCCAAGTACATATACACAACTCTCCTAATGTGCATATTAATAAAATCATGTTTTATTTTTTTGTTCCAAAGTTATTTGTATTTTTTATTTCTTTGCTACATTATGAAAAATGTTATTTAAAATATCAAACATGTAAAGAATTTATGAAGGTACATAAGAAAATTGCGGTAAGCAACCTTTAGTACCAGATAGTTTATTTCTAAGCAAGCTAACTGTTTTTATAACATTTTCAAATACAAATATATACACAACTCTCCTAATGTGCATATTAATAAAATTACCAAACAAGAGAGCAATACTCAACTATATGGGTATGAAGGTCGAATAACAGTACCGGTAACCTACGCATCAAAGTGTTTTTACTAAGTCTCGTATTTCACATACAAAAAATGAATTATTCTGTGGGCAAGCATATTGAAAAACTCAAGATAACGGAAAGTGGCTAGAAAAGTCATAAAATTGAGCACAACAAAAAAATCTTACGTTATACTGGCTACAGACATAAAATAACCAATAATACTCTCGATTATTGAACAAAATTGGAAGCAATGAAAATCATTTTGGTCAATAACCCAAAAGCTCAAATTCCATCTACAAAAAACGAAAGTTCTTCTTCAATCCATCAGATCAAATATGTGTGCGCATTCGTGGCAACTTTGTGACTATTTTAGTTAGATGTGTCCGTGGCTAAGGAAGGATTACACGTCTACCTTTATAGTATAAAATGGTTTCAAAAATTTTGGTGTGAAAAACAATCAAGCATTCAAACTCAGTCAATAAAACCTCAATGTTTGTACGTTAGTTGCAAAGGACCACAAGGATTTGAATTAGGAAGTGAGGATGCCAAGTTATGAACCATCACAGTAATAGGAATGAGTGTTTCAAATGGGATTCTATTCGTTCGGGATATCTAGGTTAAAGCATTTCCGAATTACAATATTTTGAACTATGTAATCAATAAAAAAAGCTTTTTTACTACATGACTGATGATTCAATCAATCTGAATATGGAAATAGTTCCAGAAGGCAATTGGTACTTATTTTCAAATTACCTCTGGGATTAGATATCCAGAGTTTCGCTGTTTTATTTCAATTTTTAATCCACAAAGCTTGACTTGCTGTGTCACTATCGTTCTTTGTGTTGGTTTCGCAAAATCAGTGCCAGTACTGTGATTAGGTATTTGACCATCGAGACAAATATGTTTAAGCATTGCTTCATTTATTTAGTGGGCATCGTGGGAGTTACGTCAGAGCTGTCTTTGACCTCGATTTTCGCATGTTCATAGCATGTTTATAATTCCTGTTATTGGTTATATTTGCCCATTTGTATTCTGACGCTCTATCGCATATAGTTGAGTTTGAAAACACAAAACTTGGAACAATAATTGCGTTAATAATGCAGAGCAGTATGAAAGAATATTTGATATTTGAGTCTGCAGATTTCCATTTTTAAATATTTATATTAGCAGGCTTAAAATCATACTTACCCTATATCGGTTAAACAAATACAACTTTAGTTTTAAAATGTTCATATATATTGTCTTTGTGCAGTTGTCGTATAGGTTATTCGAATAGAGATTTTTTCGTTCTCCGAGCAGTTACCCTAAAATTGAGGTTATAGAAATATGGTAAACTAAAATCTTAAAAGCCAATTTTTACTTAAGATTCGAAACTTGTTTTTCTTTAAACGCCATGTTTGAGCCGTTAAAGGCCACAAAACTTGCTTTTTTGCTGTGAAACTGAAGCACATCCTGTCTTTATGCTTTTGATAATATACATTTCAGGCTAGAAATTCATATCCCGACATTAACTTAACAAGAAAAAGTGGTAATTCAACCAAATCTACAACGGTAAAAGATCAAATACACTGTTTTAGTCGCTAGCATAACGAATATTTGCTATTCACAATTAGAACGTCCGAAAATATTCTTAGTGATTTTAGCAATGAGGAGTGTGCGCAGTCTGCTTGATTCATTCCCCTTACGAGTTTTCAAAAATGCCGTCGAGTATTGTCTTGTAGTTATTTTAACGGTAGCGATTGGAGATGTTCTTCGTTTATTCGGCATAAGTATCTTAAGTAAGTATGAACTATGTTGATCTGTAAATCAATCAGCATTTGGCTAACTATATGATGGTATTACATGAGAAAGGCCTTCTAACCCCAACTCAAAGCCTATTAGCATCACTCCTTACAGAGTGTACACGGGCTAGTTTAACAAAGAATTTAAGTGCCTAAAGAAGATTAAGCCGTACCGTGGAAATACTAGTCTTTGATAACTAACTGCTCTCCTGCAGCTATAGGTAATTTGTATTCAGAAATCAATCGTATCAAATATACCAAATACGATGTAAACTTGATCGATAGATTTTGATTTTAAACCTGGTTTGGCACGGATACAATTTTTCAATTCATTAATCATTAAAAATTGACTTACATCGAAATAATGGTGGTAGCGCAAATCTCTCATAATAACCTATGCCAGGGTGGTCTAATGTTGTCATTTATTGTCTGAACACGTTGATCATTATTTGTCATTTATAAAGCTAAAGCATGCAAAAACCACAAAAAAACTCACTAAAACATACAGAAATCTTACTATATCTACATTTAGTGCAAGATTTCAAACACTTCATTACGGAGAAAGTGCCATCAGGAAAAAATGACGTTTCAAATTGTCACTGGCAAAACTTGCAGACATATTAGTACTGTGGTATTTTCCCTCCCACATCTAGTCAAAAGTCTGTTTGAATTGGTCAGCTTTCCTTTCGAACTCATGCTTACAAAATAACTTACAATTAGCTGCAGATTGATTGATTACCGAATTTTGCCAAATTTGAAATACAGAATGGTAAATACTAAATTTTCTGACATATAGGCAAAAAAAATTGTGTTTCTGTTTGGGCTGGTTGCAAAAAAAGACGCGGCGGGAATTATATATATCGTTCGGTCATTACATTATTATTTAGTTATCAGGCATAGCCAACCTAGGCTAATAGATTTGATTTTTAGTTTTTTATACAGCCCATTTTGTTAGCATATATTCACGGCCAAAATAATAGAAAGCCAGTTAACAATTTAGACTAGCGAAACACATTATTCAACTTCGTTCGTTGCCTCAACTAGCCATAACACTAGTTAATTCAGTAACATTAGTGTTGTAACAATAGGTCAAAAGAATTCATGACAAAACAACACCAAATGCGATTTTTTGTTTACCCTCGTGCAAATGCGACGCGGGCCATAGATACCGAATTTGCGGGGGGCCCGTGGGCCTGGGTTTGGACCACCCTGTCTTATGTAATAGAAGTGTTCGTTCAATTCAAATTATTTTTACTACCTTCAATCCACATGTAAGGAAACAGACTATGTATGGTATCGATAAACTCCCATTGTAATTTTAAACTTTTAAAACTTCATGAACACACTGTACTTCATATTTTACAGAGTTGATGTCTAGCAGGCATGGAATGATACCAACGCTCGAAAATGTTCCTAAATTGTGAGTAGTTATTGTTACGCTACCACATTTTGACCTGTGCTCAGAAATTCCTTCAACAAACAGCATTCAAAAATCTTTTCGTCAATACGCCAGCTTAATGATTAAGTGTAATTAATCTACTTCGATTTTAAATAGTTGCAACTAATTAATTATATATACAGCATTCCATAAAACAAACATTTGTCAATTTCTATTTCGAAGTCCTTTGTCCTTACTTCCGTTGTTGGCATCATGAACTCTTAGTTTTTCTTGACATATGCATTACTCAAATATGAGTGAAATTGATATTTTTTAATTTTAGATCATTTCCATGAATGAGAAAGTATTAAATCCGTTCAACGCGTTGTATGACCAATTTTGTTTTACGATATTTTACATTTCAGTACATTGGGATCACTTCGACATATCGAGAGAAAATATTATCAAGATATTTTTAGAAGTGCGGTAATTGGGCTGAAGGCACCAAATTCCACAGTTTATGATCAAAAAACTTTGAAAAAACGCAAGTCAGATGGAATGAATTTTTTTTATCAAATAGTTGCATATTTGAGATAGCTTCTATTGAATGAACGATTGTAAAAGTGATAGGCATTCTCATGTTGAAATCTTATGGTCCTTTCAAAAATAGTTTATCTTTGTACGTCGTTAATATATATCAACAATTGCTTGTACCAAACCTTGTTCAGAACGAAATGGGCGTTACTTCAAAATTGAGAGAGAAGTTGTATAACCTTTGATACTAAAATGATATATTTTTTATTGAGTACAAGAAGTGTAATTTCACAAACTATGCATGATTTCATTGTTGTAAGCTTATTCTATAAAAATAAATTTTCCTTGATGGTATGATTTATGTTTGTGTTTAGAATTCTAGATTTCAGTAACCCAGGACGCCCTCTCGTTCTCATATTTGGATCATGCACCTGACCCCCATTTCTGAAAGGGATTGAGCGTCTCCCTACTCTTATGGAGGAATATCGTTCAAAAGTTGATTTTGTTGTGATATATATTCAAGAAGCTCATGCCACGGACAGTAATTGGCATTTCAAGGACATGAAGTAAGTGAAGTAAGGAACAGCGTTAGGTTCAAGTCATTAAACTCCAAGTGGAGCCACAAACCATATAGGTCTTCAGAAATTCGACTTCCATGAATTGATAATTTCGACTCAAAATCCGATCGTCTTAAAAAGCATTACGTTTTGTATATTGTCGCAGGCACCACATTTTCCTTCATAAAAGTCTTCATGATCGTCAGTCTGCCGCAGAAATTCTTAAAGACTACTTTTCGTGCCCTTTGGTGTTGGATGGAATAGAAAATGAAGCAACGAAGCATTATGGTGCGATTCCGGATCGTATGACAATTATCTACAACGGTTGCTTAGAATATATCAGTGCGAAAGGTCCTTTTGGGTTTAACGTAGAGGATATGCTAATTGCTTTAAATCACCTATTACAACGAAACGAATAAGAATTTTTATACCATTCAAGTTATCAGTATGGCCTTCGATGTTACAGTACCAATGGGGCATTCGCTATTATAATGCTCAATACTATGTTTGTATATATAGCAAGTAAGCTACCCCCTTAATTTCGAACTGCCAGTAAAAGATATTTCGATAGGTATATCACCTAGAAATCTTTGAAGGCCAGCAACGTTAAACAAGGCTGTCACTTGTATTTTTGATTTCTTTGCTACATTATAAGAAATGGTATTTAAAATATCAAA